CACCACCCTGGCTGCAGCTTGGATAAAATATCGGCATCCAGTGCCTACCTCCCAGAGGCTGAAAAGCTCCCAGGTGAATGTGCAGCCAACTTGGAAAGCCCTGGGTAGACAGCGCAGGATCCTGGGTCAGGCTCAAGAGCTGGAAGTCTCCACTGAGAGCAATAGGGAGTCTCTGAGGGTTTCATGGAAGAACAGGACATAATCAGATTTTTCTTTTTTGGTAAGATTATTCCAGCTGCCAACTGGAGACAGGAATGTGACGGACAGGCTGGTCTTCAAGATGCTGGTTAAGAAGGCCACTTCGGGGGTGGAGCCCATGGTGTCAATGGTAAGGGCAGATATGGACCCATCTGAGGTCCTGGTGGTGACTGATGGGAGCAAGAGCGGAAGAAGTGGGAGGACCAGGATGGGGCCCAGATTCTCAATTAGGGTGATTCCCTGAACACACAGGTTCAAATTCCTGAGAAGGCCCCAGCCGTAGCCCTGGGCTTCTGAGTCGGCCGCAGAGGGCAGGCAATGCCATCCAGAGAACCCATGAGCTCCCCAGGGGAGGAGAGCAAAGAGTGAGAGGATGAGCCCAGGACTGGAGCCCAGGGGGCTGAGGGAAGAGCTGCAGAAGGATGAGAAAACCCAGAAGCACGCAGCGTCCAGTAAGCTACAGATGGACTACTTCTAGGAAGACGCGCTCAAGCGTGCCAATGTCTCCTGAGATATGGCCGCAGGTCGCCTTGACAGTACGGATGAGTGGAAACTTAGGGTGCACAGAAGAGCTCAAGAGAGCAGGTCCCAACGGGGGCAACTATCCTTTATCTTCTTCACATTACAGCCGAAAATGTGGCTATTTTCTCATTCCCTAAGTATGTATTAAGCACCCAGAGTGCTGGGCACTGTGTTCAGGGCTGCGGATAAGAGAGCAAGTCCTTGAGGCACTCGTTCACCAGCAGGAGACGGACACTCGCTCATATCACAGACCGTGTGGTGGGGATGTGCAGCCCAGGGAGCGGGGAGGACGGGCAGGAGAGGTCCCATGCAGCAGGGGGAGAGGGACGTGACGTTCCTGCTGTGCTTCTTCCTGGGGCCGCTGCCCGCCTGTGACAGAGTTCAGGTCTCAGCCAGTGGGGAAACAGGGCACAACAGGACCTCAGGGGGGTGGGGTGGGACCCTGGCCCTGGCTTTGGCCAGTGAGTGCTGGGTGGTGGTGAGCAGGTCCCTTCTGGGCCGGCGATGTCCTGGCCCATGCAGGGTCCTCCGGAGGTCTCCCTCTGGCCTTGCCAGCAGCCACACTCCCAGGTACCCGAGGAACTGCCCCTCAGATGCGTACCTCTCTCTGGATACACAGCCTGGGGAAGAAACACTGTTTTCCCTTCACCCATTCTAGGTTCATTGGCTGGAGGCCTAAAAATTAGACCGCGAAAGACAGATTAACAAGAGAAAGACAAACAGAAGATTATTAACACGTGCGTATCATGTGCACATGCAAGAGTACTTGGTAATAAGTCACTCAAAGGGTTGATTATTACTTGGGCTTCTATAGCATCTGAATCAAAGACCAATATGTTTTTTAGCCAAGTGGTAAGACAAAGGAAAAAATGAGCTTCTAGGGGTGGCAAATTGTGGGAAAGCAAATATATAGGGGACTAGTAATGGTAAGATAAGGCCTAGTTTTAGCACAATTTGTTAGCTAGGTCCCTCTGGCACGGTCTCTGAGCTGATAAGGATCTAGAGTTGTCATCCATGATTAGCTTCTGTTTTCCCTGGTGGTGGGGGTGGGGGGCTTGGGGGGGTTGGAGCACCTTTACAAATTTATGTCTTGCTTTTCCTTAAATAGGGGAAGGGCAGAGAGTTTTTCATGTACGGATCTGCTTCTTCTCACATATCTTGCCTTCAACTCAAAATAATCCAAAGTGGCGTATTATTTAGGGTTGCGTATTTTGCCACCCTGAAGCAAACTTCTGTTGTGTGTCATAGTCACCATGTCCTAAGCTAGCGCAGTGGTCCTCAAAGTGGGGACCTTGGACCAGCAGCCTGAGTGCCACGTGGGAACTGATTAGAAATATAGATCATGGTGCACCCACCGCCTCACACTTACTGAACCTGACGCCCTGGGGTGGGGCTCAGCAATGGGAGTCTTAATATTCCTTCCAGGAGATTCTCAGGCACATCCAGAGTTGAGAACCACTGCCCTAGCTGGTGCTGACTGCGGCCTCCCATCACCTGAAAGGCAGAGCAAGAGGAATTAGAATTTACAGAGAAGGTCATTCTAGTAAGCTTGAAAAAAACAAGTAAGAAGAATTAAGTGTGAGCTTCTTCACATCACAGGAAAGAATTTTGAAGCAAAAAATATTGTATCTATCCCTACAGACTGAGCCTTCCTGTCAAAATGGCCCAAACCACTTGGCTTTGTGGCCGGTCTCCAATCAACGACGTCACATCAGAAGAAAAGCACTGTCACAGAGGGGATACTCCGAGTCAGTCCAGCGGCATTGAAGCCAGACCCGGGGCCTAAGATAAAGCCAGAAATGCGTATTCCGTTCATCCCCATGGCCTTGCTGTTTTAGAAAATGCTCCTGAATGCTTTGAATCTGAAAGGTACATAAAATCCTATTTTCTCTTCCGCAGGGGTGAGTCATTAGAGCTGGAGTGGAGGCTATTTGGTAATGGGTCCTATTTAAATGAAGCAAAAAAGTACAATCCAAGCGAACTGCTTTTTGAATTGTCAAATAGGAGGAATCCATTTGTGCCTGTGAAATTATTCCAAGGGTTCTAACTATTAACTGAAGGCAGGTGAAAGATGTCAAAGAAAACAAATGTTCTATGAAAGAGCTAGCTAAATGTTTAAAGGCAGATACCAGAGGACTCTTTGGCCTGTTTTGGATTCAAAAATTTGTTTTAAACAGCCTGAGTACCACGGACGGAAGTTTTAAGAAAACACCATATCCTAGTAAGCAGATGCCATTTTGTTTATTGGAGTTGTTTTAACCGATGTGACCCTGAGGCGGCCTGATGGACAGTACGACAGCATCTTCACGCTTGAACTTTTTCCTTTGGCTTCAGTTTGATGCCAAAGGCCTCTGGCTAGCTTTTCAAATGATATATTTAACACGTTCTGTGCTTTTCTATTTGTTATTGATAAATGCATCCTTGTACAGCCTAGTTCAACGAGGAGAGAAAATGCTGCAATAGTATGAAAAAGTGCCTTTTTTTTTTTTTTTTTTTTGGTCACTGGCAGGGATGCTGGGTTACGGTCAAGCCTTAATGGTAAGTAAGGATCTCTATAGGCAAAACACAGCCCTGCGTGGTTCTATAGGAGACCAACACTGGTCTTTTCCATTCCTTTCCTCTAGGGGTTCCACTGCAATTAGTCTTGCGTTCATGCCTTCAGTTATCTTTGTGGGCACTGAAACGGGGCTGCTGAAAAATAATTAGTGAACCTCCTCCCTCCCTTGGCCCTCTAGGTACTTCTTACTTGTGCTACGATGCCAGACTAAGACAAACACAATTATCCCTGCTTAGACCAAGAGGAACCATGCACATGGCGACCAGCTAGAGGCACTGGGCCAGGCTCAAAAGGGCCAGGCTTCTTACACTTGGATGTGCACACAAATCTCCAGGTCTCGTTAGAACAATGCACAGTCTGACTCAGTAGGTCTGGGCTGGAGCCTTGGTACAGCCTGCATTTCTTGCAAGTTCCCAGGCAGTGCTCATGCTCATGCTCATGCTCGTGTGGACAGCATTTTGAGTAGCGAGGCAATCATGCATATTCTGCATAAGTGACTTGTAGAAGGACCTATTAAATAGAGGATTAGCTGAGGGTCTGGTTCCCCTTTGATTTAGGGTTCCTTGAAAGCAGGGACTAAATCTTACCTATTTCTTTCTTTTTTTTTTTTTTTTTTTAGTTGTTTTGTTTTGTTCTCTGGCTGGCACTTGGCACAGGTCCCTGCACACGGTGGGTGTGTGTTTATTTAATTAAACAGATCTGGCCTCCTTCCAAAAAGGATTTTAAGTGGACTTAACCCCTAGCAGGCCCTAACTCGGGGCATGCTGAACTGGCCAGGGAGGGCCGTCAGTCCCAGGGTGCAGTTGCCCTTCCCCGGCGCCCCCGCCCCTGCATGCACCGAGATCCCGCTCCAGCCGCTGCTCCCTGTCCAAGGCGGTTTACACCAGGGAGCGGCTCAGAGACAAGGAGGACAAACAAGACCCAACCGACCAGGGAGCCCTGCGAAGCGGTAAGGCTGCCGAGCATCAAAGGCTCCCCCTGGGGCCTCGGAACTCGGGTTCCTCCCGCTGCCTGATCTGGAGCCTTGTGCAGGTCGCGTGGCGCCCCCGCGGCTCCCCGCCCGCCCCAGGGTCCTGCGAGCCCGAGCCCGTGGTTAGCTCTGCCCCAGCAATTGACCGTCTGGAGCTCTCCTGCCCGGCGGGGGTGCGGGGGCCGGGCGGGGCGGGGGCCTGCACGCGGGCGGCCGCGCGGCCGGAACCTTGGCCGCAGAGCCCCTTCGCGGCAGAACCTGCGCGTCTCCGCGGCGGCCTCGGAGGGTGGACAGGGCGGCCCTCGGCCTCCTGTGGGAGGGGGTGGCGTGGGTCGGTACCGGGGCTCGCGCGGGGGAGGGGGGAGCGCGGGGAGCGCGCCCCGGGGAGGCGCACACGTGCTGGGGAGGGGGAGGGGAGGGGAGGGGAGGGGAGGGGAGGGGAGGGGGAGGGGGGAGGCGAGGCGAGGCGAGGCGAGGCGAGGGCTGCGGGCGGGCGGCGCCACGGCCTCGCAGACGCAGGCGCCGGCAGCGGGAGAGAAAGTTCCCGCGGAGAGCTCGGCCCGCGAGGGCTGACGTCGAGGCCGCCCGCCCGCCCGCCGCGAGGGTCGCGGGGCCCGTGGGGCGGCCTGCCCTGTCCCGGCGCGCGGGGAAGCGGGGAGCGGGGAGCGGGGAGCGGGGAGCGTTGCCGGTCGGCGGCCGCCGCCGGACTTGGAGGGCGGATGCCGCGGGCGGGCGCGGCGGCGCGGGGCGCGGGGGCGCTCTGAGTGCTCCCCGCGGGCGTCCCCGGGCGCGCCGACGCTGAGCCGGCAGGTAGCGGCGGGCGCCGGGGCTGCGCCACCCGACGAGCCAGGGCCGCCCGCGCCACGGGGCCGGCGTCGCCTCCCCGCCCCGGAGCCATGGTGCGCGGATCCCGCACGCCGCGCGCGGGACTCTGAGCCCCCGCCGCGCCGCGCGCCCACCGCCCTTGCCCGGCCTCGCCGCCGCCCCTGCGCGCGGGCCATGGCGCCCGGGCCGGGAGCCCCTCGCCTCTGAGCTCCGCGCCCCCGCTGCAGCCCAGCGCCGCCCGCCCCAGCGAGCCCGGCCGCCGCGCCCCCACCCTCTCCCAGGGCGGCCCGGCGCGCCAGGATGGCCCCGCGCAAAGTTCGCAGGAAGCGAGAGATGCTGCCGCAGCAAGTTGGCTTCGTGTGCGCGGTGCTGGCCCTGCTGTGCTGCGCGACCGGCGTCTTTGGCAGCCTGGGTAGGTGCCGCCGCGGGCCCCGGGAGCCGAGGGGCTCGGGCTGGGAAGCGGCCGCGCAGCTCCGAGCGGTGCCCGTCCCCGGCGGCTTGGCCCCGGGGTTCACCAGCCCCGTCCCCCACCGTGGCGGAGCGCGCCGGGAGGGCCGGCAGCGAGCTGGGCGCCGGGGCGCGGGCTGCGGGAGCTGCGCGCGGCCCCTGGGGCTCGGCTGCAGGTCTGGGCGAGCGAGCGGCGAGCCCGAAGGCCGGCGCGCGGCGCCAGGGCGGCCCCAGGGTGCGCGGGGCGGGCGTCCGGGCGGCTCCGGGCGGCTCCGGGCGGCTCCGGGCGGGCGGCAGTTCTCGCAGCCGCGCACCCGCTCCCGGGCCGCTGCCCGGTGCTCCGCGCTGGGTCCCGCGAAAGCCCGACGCTGAGGCCGGGAAGCCAGGCTCAGCCCTGCCCTCGCCCCGCCGGGCAGCGCCCTGGGTGTCCTGGCGGCCGCCGCAAGCCCTGAAAGGCATCGGCAGCAGCCGCCGAGGTCGCGGCCCTGTGTCGGGACCGCGCGAGTCCTCCCAGCCCCAGCAGCAGGACTCCGCTGTCGCCGCAGTTGGCCGCCGTCACCCAGCGCCCGGGGGTCTGGGAGTCACCTCGGCTGTGCACGTCCGAGGGGACAGAGAGAGAGAGAGACGTAGGGGAGGAATCTGTTTGGGGGTGAAGTGGGGGATGATGTGAGCCCACGTGGGATCTTCAGAAGACATTCACTTGGTTAACACTCTCATTTTTACTTGGAGGGGGACCTTTTACTTCTTCTTCTTCTTTTTTTTTTAAATGAAAAATGCAATGCTTTAGCAACCCGGACATGGAGAAAAAGCAGGGGATGCCTTTCTGAACAGTTATCTAGAGAGGTTTACAGCAATAGGCGAAAATCAGGTGGAACTTGATGAAACTCAGGAAACTGCTTTCAAAACCCCAACTTGTGATTTGAGGCTATAAGGTAAAAAAAAAAAAAAAAAAAAAAAAAAGAATTGCACTTTTCAGTAGAAACCCAGAAAGGTTATTTGGACATCTCAACCCAGTGCTTTGCAATTGGGCAAGTCAGTGCATTTTTTTCCCCTCAGTTACATACCAGAAATAACAAAATGCTTAGAGGCCCTTAGGTGTCAGCATTATAGAAGAGGTATCTTACCCAGCTAAAGCAGCACACACATCAGGAGAGGTAGACAGATACTTTGAAGGTCTTAAAGTGAGAATCCTTTGTATTTGCTCCATCTGGAATTACCTTTAGGAGTATGACTGTGTTTGGTCATGAGCCTCCACACCACTGATCTCCCTTGTTGCCCTGCAGCCCTTGGACTAGCAGAATTAGCATCACCTGGGAGCCCGGTAGTGCAGACTCATGAGGCCCAGCCCAGACCTACAGAAACAGAATCTGCATTTTGACAAGGTCCCCAGGTGATTTCTGTGCGTAGTCAAGGAGGCTCTGGACCAGGCCCCGTTGACCCTCTGCATCTTCCTGCTGACCTAATAGCCATTTGTAGCTCCCCTGGGGGCAGGAACACCCGAGCACGTGTTTACTGGACAAGAACTTCACGGTTACCTGTCTAAATGCTCTTTGCACCTGTAAGGGGCAGAGCCCTGTCAGCCAAGGTCAGATCACAGGCTGATGCATCTGGGACTAGAAACAATGGAGCAGATCTAGGAAACAGATTACTGTGTGTTAAGCAGGTGGTATTGTGGCCCTAGTCATTGTATCACTCCCTACAGGTGGCTCTAAATAGTCCAACAGGGCTGTTGCTGGTGTTGCCAGATACAGACACGTAAGGTCATTGGAAGAACGCAATGAACGCAGGCACCAGCCTGACCTGATGGTGTTTGTGACTTATGTTCCAATACAGGACATAAAGCAGCGTCCGTCAGCAAACATGCTCTTCCAGACACATGGAAAAATAGAAAGCTGATGGCACCAGTGAATGGGACTCAGACAGCTAAGAACTGCACAGACCCTGGTAAGAGATCGATCTCCCCTTTGCCTCAAGGCATGTGGCCCGGAGGTGGTACCTATGTGGACATTCTGGTAGGAGCTGAGGAAGGTGGTTTGATGAAGTAGGGAAGGGTGGCTGTAAGGCACGGAAGGTAACGTAAAGACATTCATCAGTAGTGCTGCTAAGCAACTCAGGCACTTTCTTTACCCAGCAATGGAAAAGGTCACATTGAAGAGTTTTAAAATTTCTTTTTTTGTTGTTCTCACGGTGCTCCTAAAGCCTCAGTGTTCCCCCGGCTGTCTTGATGTCGCTTGCCTGGGTGTCTTTGCCTGCTTTCCCTTTTGCTCATGGTATCCATCTGATGGTATGCTAGGGGCAGCCAGACCAGCTGCTCCGGTAGATGGCACTTTGGGATGACCCACCCACTGGGGTCACAACATGCCAGGCTGCTCTGCAGCACTGGGGTCCTTTGTCTGCGATGGGAGTTCCCAGGGTATACGGTGCCAGAGCTGGGGATGGATTCCGCTTGCTCCAGGGGGCAGTCTTGATGTTCCCCTTCAGGATTCTTTAGGGGGTCAGGGGCTGTAGGGACCCAGAGATGACCTCTTACCTGTCCTGCCGTAGGCAGGTTCTGCCAAAATGGGTGAAGAAGGTTCTCGGAAGTGTGCCAGCAAGCGATGAGGCAAATGGAAGCTGCCCAGGCCTCAGGGAAGTCCTGGGCTTGAGCTGTGGCTTCAACACCAGGGGGTCTTTGTGGGAAGGATCCAGTGGGAGGAAGCATTCAAATGCCCATTGAGAACTTTGAGGTCTTAACTGTAGATGGGCACCACTAGGCTCTTCCACCAAGGTTCTGGGCAAGTCACATCCTCTCTTTGCGTCTGCTTTCTAACCTGTGAAATGGACAGCATAGGACTCCCTGTTCTGGGGTGGTGGTTGGGGGAATCCGGTAAGGGCCTGTGTGGTCCCTGTGTACACGGGAATGGAAACCCAGGTTCGATGGCATTCTTCACCTGCTTTCATAGGCAGGTCTTATCTGCATCCTCCAGGCCAGGAGACCTAGGGAAAGGCAAGAGTTGCTCAAAGTCCTAATTCGGTGCATGGTGAAGCTGGAATGGGGACCTCGGCCCGTATGATTAAGATGTTTGGTTGGTTCTACGGGCACAGGGTCAAGGATGAGAAGCTCTGGACCTCATCTCAAAGTCTGTCTACTACACCATGACCCTCAACAGGCTCCCCCTCAAAGCCATGACCTTCAAAGGGCTCTCCCTCAAAGCCTGTCTACTAAACCATCACCCCCCTTCCCTCAGGATGCCCTTCTGAGAAGGCCAAGTGGGACATGGAGGGTAGGTGAGTACAGGCTTGCATAGGAAGCTCTGGGATTCCCTCTGAACTTGGACCATTCGTTCCTGAGAGATCCCCGGTGACCTGTAGGCGGTGGTGCCCACCCCATCATTGATCTCCCTCTGATAGCTCCCTTCATCACAAAAGGGGGAGGCATGGGCTGGACTCACGGGCCAACACGTATAAGGCCAGAGGCTAATGTTGGGGCCTGTGTCTTCCAAGGACCTGAGACACTAGGAGCAGCACCATCCTTGGGAGCTGGGGATGCTTTGCTGCTCTGGGTAAAGAACTGGGGTAGCACCTCCTTGGTTTCTGGCTTGCTGGTGCCCTCCTCTTGGGCAGGCTATGCCCTCTTCCTACAACTTCCATCACGTGTAGTCTGGCTACGGTGTCATAGGGTCTTGTTGAGTCTCGTGTGCCCCCGTGTTGTCCATGCATCTTCAGTGTACTGTCTTACCAAAAATTATCCTACTAACTGTGGAGTGGTCAGTCCTGTTTGGCAGGAAGGCCTGACCTAGGTCCCCCTTTCAGAGCCAGAGATGGAGGGACATTGGCAGTATCTTTAGCAAGAGTGAACACTGGGCTGTGCTTTTTTTTTTTTTTTTTTTTTGTATTTTTTAAAAAAGATTATTCACTAGAGAGCATGAGAGAACACAAGCGGAGAGGGGCAGGGGGAGAGGGAGCAACAGATGCCCTGCTGAGCAGGGAGCCAGACTAGGGACTTGATCCCAGGACCCTGGGATCATGAACTGAGCCGAAGGCAGACAGAACTGGGCCTCCCAGGAGCCCCAAACATGAAGCACTTTTGTCCCTACAGTGTTTTTGCAAAGAAGAGGAATGAGGGACTCAGAAGTTTAGTGGCTCCCAAGATGTCCTGGGGGGCAGGTGCACCCCTGGTTCACCTGGGTCCAGATCCCAAGGCCTCCCCACACCATCACACCTGCCTGCCAAAGTGGGCTGAGACCTGAGCTCTTCCAGCCACCTGGTCCCTGGGTGCCCCTTCTGGTTCCCAAGCACGGGGCAGCACACACTTGCTGTGAGCTTCCTGCCCTGTGGTGGACACCTGGGGGGCCATATCCGTGAGCAGAGGAGGCAGCCCTGGTCGGCAGGTAGCATACAGCTGTGGAGAAGACAGGCTCTGGACGCAGGGATGAGTCCACGAGGAAGGAAGATGGCAGAGGTCCTGAAGTCAGTAGCCCCCGGGAACCCCTCTGGGGACTCAGAGGAGTGTGACAGGGTCTGATGCCCTTTGTGGACTCTTGGGGTCCAGAGGAGGTGGGCCTGGATGGCAAAGACCAAAAACTTCCCCAAACTGGGTTTACCAGGAAAGGGAATTTATTGGGTAGGTCACTGGAAGCATAAGGTCAAAGGCTATGTGCTGTGACTCAGTTAGTTTCTCTCTGTCTCCAGACTCAGAAGGCCTCCTGTGTGGGAAGGTGGTTACCCCAGCTCCAGATCCAGCTCCCAGACCTCAGAATGCTGAGCGAACATGTCAGTGGCTGAGCAGCTTCTGTAGAAGGTTCTGTAGAGTGGGGGCGTGTGAGCCCCTGAGCTCCTCGTTAGGGCTGGGCTGGGGGGGCACCAGGAACGAGCTGGCTCGGACCTGGGTCTCCAGGGTCTGCTTCCGGGGGGCGCAGCACTCGTTTTTCCTCGCCGTTCGCTTACAGAGCCCATTGTGGAGCTGCTGCTGTGGTCAAAGTGGACCAGAGGCCTCCTCCCACTTAGGTCCTGGGACATGACACAGGGTGTCCACAAGCTGCCTTCATGCCTATGCAGGTAGAGGAGTTACCCCTAAAGAACCGAGGGCGGGTCTTGCATCCTTGAAGGCTTCTGTCTCCACCAGCCAGAGGCCCGGATCCTGCTCCACTGGGTGAAGTCTCTGGGATGTGGGAAATGGAGCTATAGGGATGTCCTGCTGTGTCGGGCATCAGAGCTAAAGCCGCACCCTCCTCTCCACAGTAACCATTCAACAAAGTTCACATTTTTGGAAGAACCTCTAGGGTAGGGACTGGGCCTTATTTTCTACACCCTCTGAGTGTGCCTCTTCTCCTGTGAGAGGAGTAGCTTCTCTTTGGGAAAACACGCAGGGCGCCCTCCTCTAGTTCCCCTGAACACTCGTGGAAAGTGGGCTCTTCGCTCTGCCCGGACTCACTTCCCCCGGTCTCGCTGGTGTGCCTACCCCATTACCTGTGTTGTGGCCTAAGTGCCTCCCCATCATGTCGTCCTCTCTTTTTATGACCTGTATTACCGTCTAAAGTAACTTTCTTGCCATCTGTTCCCGGCAAGGGCTCCCTTGCTCACTGCTCTGTGCCCACAAGAGTGATCCCTAAACCTGCCCACGTCTTTCAATCAGGGACGAGCTTCTGACATGCCCAGGCCCCACTCCTGGGGTGTCTGATTTCATTGGTCTGGGGTGGGACCCGGAAATCGTCCCCTTTTTAAAAATTTTATTTATTCATTCACGACAGACACAGAGAGAGGCAAAGACACAGGCAGAGGGAGAAGCAGGCTACCCCTGGGGAGCCTGATGCAGGACTTGATCTCAGGACCCTGGGATCACACCCTGGGCTGGAGGCAGATGCTCCACCGCTGAGCCCCCAGGCACCCCGAATCCACACTTTTTAAGAGCTCCCAGATGAGTCCAAGATCAAGCTGGGGTTGATGCTCCCTGGGCTAGAGTTGTGCTGTCCAGTGTGGTTGGCATCACCAGGCAGCTTGTTGGGAATGCACAGTGTTGGGCACACCCCAGGCCTTCTGGGTCAGAATTTGGGTCCTAATGAGGTCCTGGGGCAATGCATGTGTGTACCATGGGCTGCTGAGCCCTAGGCTTGGACCCTGCCTGGTACTTTGTAGCAGTTCAGTAAGTACTTGAATGGTGAATGAAGGTGAAGACTTGGCGTAACATAGAGATTTTCCCGAGAACCAATTGGTGACGTTTTTGAATGTAGAGAAGCTAAAAACAAAACAAAACAAAACAAAACAAAAAAACAAAATGAAACAAAACAACAACAACAACAAAAAAAAACCTTCATTTTTGACCTCTGAGGCCTTGGGGCAGTCATTAATTTATCTTCCCCCAGAGATCTGTGCCTCTAGGGCTTGGATCTTTATTTCATGGTTTGTGAAGAGCAAGCGCTATGAAAGAGAAGTGGGTCCCTCCAAGTGAAATGCATGAAATAAGGACGAGAGGCCATAACTTTGAGTCTTTGGGGTTTGTCTGCCCCAACATGATCCCAAAGATGGAACGGCTTCGATGACAGCCTCCCCGCATGCTCACAGGCAGAGAGAGAATTGGAGCTCTCGTCTCCCTTCCCCTTGTTACAAGGGCGCGAATCCAATCACGGGGACCCCACCTTCATGCACCACCAAAACGAATTCCCTCCTGAAGGCTGTGCCTCCTGGTCCCACTGCCCCAGCAGCGTGGGACTTCAACACAGGGGTTTGGGGGAGATGTGGACTTTGAGGAACCAAAGCATTTCCGCACGTAGCGGCGGACACCTGGAATGTGGGAAGACAGGTGAGGGAGGAGCTGGGCTTCTGCCACTGAGAAAGCCCTGGGGGCTTTGAGGACCGTAGATAGCTGGTGTGGGAGGTCAGAGCTGGTGGCCAGCAGGTGCCGCGGCGGACGCATGGAGCGTCTGGGGGGACCATGCTGCTTCCACCATCTTCCACCATGGGCTTGT